ATAGGTAATCTGTTGTCAGAACCTATTATCGTTTAAGTTATTGGTGGGCATGAATTAAAGATTTGTTACTGTCAGACTGAATAGTGCTTAAAGACAGTACCTAGGAGCCAGCCAAGAACAAGGGCTGTTACGCTCGGTATTGTTCAAATGGAAGTAACAAGGTCTCTAAACAAAGAACCTCCGAAAGAGCTTGCATAGTTGGAAAATGCCAGGTGCTTAAAGGATTAATGAAAGGCATGTAACATGGCCAACGAGGTCTTGATAAGGATTTTCTTTAGAGAATATTGGGGTGAGGTCTTGATAAGGATTAGCTAATTAGCTAAGTGGAGCTGGGGAGATGAAGCAAGGGAGAAGAGAGACAGTGAAAAGGAAGGATACCTGGGGCAAGTGAAATAAAACTGAAAGAAGGGAGGGGATGTGAGCAGGTGAGAAGAAAAAGCCAAGTTAAATAGAAGAAGGCCCAGAATTCAAAGTGACACATAGTCATATGGATGTGCTAAGGATCAGAGGGTCCCTGCTGCTTCAGTGTGCCCCTTTGGCTGCGGGGTGTTTTCTGTTTGTTGGGTTTTTTTCTTTGTCTCTGCTTCTTGAGACTCCTCTCCTTTTTCCCTTGGTGGCTTGGGGTGAGAGAAGTGCCATCATGAAACCTGAGTAACCCCTCGCAGGTCAGTCTAGGCTCAAATGCGACTTGTCCGACTTGCTAAGCTAAGGGTGTTAGGATGATGTCTAGACTTGGTGATGTTCCAGCCACTTCTGACCATTAACTTTTGGAGTCAAGATCCAATTTTCTCCAAAGTAAGAAACTTCTGCAATGAAGACAACTATTCTTACTTTTTTTTTTTTTTAATGCTGCTGTCTTGAAAAAAGTTCAGAGAAAGCTTCTGATAAGTATTTAAATATTTCCACTAGTCCCAGTAGTGGTGTCATATTTAGTGGGAAAACTAATATAAATGTTCCTACTGTTTTTTTTCACTGCTCAGGTATTCTTTCTCTTTAATAACCTTGTAAAACATAATAAGAATTTTAAAATTAATTTCACAAATTTTGTGTTAATAGGCAAACTTTGGACCAGAAGTATGAAGGTTGCTTACAATATACTACATAAATTAGGCACAAAACAAGAACCAATGGTACGACCTGGAGACAGAGTGAGTATCTAAATGACTTTTAATTACTAATAATTCAGATTCCACATTGACAAAGAGAGAATGAGATATTTGGGGTGCTCAGAGGAAATTAATGAAGTGACATTTTGAGAGGGTGAAATCCACGTTTTACTCAGAAAAAGTCCGATCATTCAGACAGAGGTTTTGAGTTGCATAATAAATAACCTGAGCTGGTACTCACTGAATAGTAGCTTAAAGTTGTGGCAACATCAACAATAAACATTCCCATGGAAGGTGATTTTTGGAAATAGAGTAGCAGTCTGTTTAGCAAAAGCTTGCTTATGGAGCCTGGAGGTGTCATGTGGGTAAAAAAACCTTCTTACTAATGACTTTGTAGTTGTTGAGATGGTAGAAACAAGAGAAGCATTGTGGAGGACAAAGACAAGCAGAGTAAACACATTTTGGCAACCAGTTAAATAAATAAATTACGCTGACTGCTAACATGGAGAATATTTCCGTTCCTGGTTCCTGACTGATGCAGTTACTGCTAGAGGCTGAATCTAGGTGAGTGGATAAAGTCCACAGAGAGCAAGGATTAAGGAGGTAACACTTCAAGTTGTTAAATGAAGGCAAGAACATCCTATGATTTTGCTAATGATGTACTTACAAACCTACCCCTTCTACTGTCGAGGCTGACTGAGCCTGCCAGACATTTTCTCTGCCAGAACATGTACAGAAATTTCCACAGGTCCCATTCCAGGTTGGCTTTAAGCCATGGAATGGATATTGCAGAACAAATTTGTCAGAAATGCAAATTTTAGTCCTGCCTTAGCGCTTAGAGTTGTGAAGGTGGAGTTAAGTCTTCCTCTCCCAGGGTCTGATAACAATTCTCAAACTGTTAGTTCTCTTGGTCCTCTTGTGCCACTTGTGAGAAAGATGTCTATTTACATTATACATTTCTTAGGGCTTCAAAAATGAGAGCATGCAATAATGCTTCCCAGAAGAAAAAAGAAGAAAAAAAAATTTAAAAATGAAACCTGATGGTGCTTCCTATGTTTCTTTTTGAAATATATCATAAAGAATTTAACTAAAGGATCTTAAGATCCTTAATCTAAATTGTTTCCTACAATGGCATTCAGTCAGGAGTAGGATCTGAAGAATCTCTTTTACTTGACTTACAAGTGTGTCTCTAAGCAACAGCAGAAGAAACAAGTTGTTCAAGTGTACACATCAAAACAATCCACCCAGAAAGCTCCAAAAGGAATAGAGTTCACATATGGGCAATGTGCATCTCTCCCTATCTATTGTGTGCTAACTGCCCATCTTCATATTCATTTACTGGAGCAGTCACTGGCATCTTCTAACATTAAGAAAGGGTTTGTGGATAATTCAGGCTGAAAGCTGGAAGTGAAGCTAGTGCAGGACACATAAAGAACAAATTACAGCTCTTCTAAAATAAATCCACCTAGATTACTGTGAAACAAATGTTTATAGCTGAGTGCTGAAAGCATATGCTTTGCGTTGTAAAAATATCTTGCCTAGCATCCCTGTGTAACAGAAACATGATCATTTGAAGCAACTTCATGTTGAAGATGAGGTGTTACTGTACTTCTGATGTTCTAGGCTGTTATTCTGGCTGTTATGCCTCTGTTGTAATAACATAAAAGCTTTCTGACCTCTTTGAAGATGGCTTTTATTCTAACTAATGTATTTTGTGTGACAACAGTTAAAGATAGTTTTTAAATACTAAATGAAATACAGGCATATATTTCTGGTCTTTTCTAAATGAGAGTGTAATTGTTTCCTTATGTTAATGCTATATAAAATTCAGAAAGGCCTTTTTCCCTTTAAAAGCATCTTCTATCAGTACAATCTCTTATTTTTCCTGACTACCATTACATCACCTCTTAGGTTCTTTGTCTGAGCCAAAAAATGAATGAATATGCCTGCATTTCATTCCGTTTCTGGTATTATTATCGTACACGACGAACTGTATTTGCCTTCTATAGTAACTTCAGAAATTTAACCTTGTGTCACCCCAGACAGATGGCTGGAAATTAAACTTGCCCTCTGAAATATCTACTAGATAACCAGATTCTCATCTGGTAATATAAACAGTATGGTTTGTTTTCCTTCAGCCTTATGTCTTTTTGCTTTTACACACATCATTTATTTATTTGGTACAGGTCTGTTAGTGATTAATGTTTTTCGGAGGGGAAGTTAATGCCTCATTCCCACTGGACTTCAGTGAGATTTTTCACCTCTGTCAGCTCCTTTGCAAACATTCCCAGCCAAACCTTTGCTACCTTTATGCAAGCAGAGACCAACACAAAACCCAACAATCCTCAAAATATCTTTTGGGATCTTTCAGCATCTTTCAGATGTTTGCTGGGCTCAGTAAACTCTACCATCCCCTCAGTGCACCTAGCAAAATCCCTTTCCTTCCATTTCCCCTGAGGCTATTTATGGTATGTGCATGTAGAATGCATACAGTAAGCTCTGCACAGCCATCTCCAGCAGTTGGATTGTTTCATGTGCAAGCAAACAGATAAAGTAGCAATGTATTCTCTCTGAAGTTTCTCTTAAACAGTTACGAAGTTACGGTCCTCAGCATAAAAATAGAGATATTTTAGACTCACTTGGACAAGGTTGGGTAGATTTCTTCTAGTTTGAAGGAATCAAGTTGTCTATGGAAGGTGACTATCTTTGAAGCCGTGTAAAAACTTTGGAAATCCTTATAATCTCCAGCAACTGAACCTTGGAGCGTATATGAAAACATACTGGTTTTGCTTCGAGAGACTGAAACACAGAACTCCTATGGATGTCAAAGCAGTGAAAACTCAAGTGTTTTTAAGTAGTTTCAGCAAATTTTAAGATGCTGTAATAATGCACTCTGATCCTGTGTGCAAGCCCAAAGGAATTAAGTTTGAAATCATTCGCCATGCCTTTTGCATGCCATTTCAGTTGACCTTGCAGGATAGTTGCCAACTGCATTAGAGCTGTTTAAGACATGAGGGGAGAACGTCCATCTGACTGAACCAAAACAAAAACGTAGACAGAATCTAACCACTGAGGTCATTTACTGTAGGTGAGAGCAGTGGTATTCCCTGCCCTTGCAGTGAGAGTCATGGACTCACCAAGACCGTGCACTCTTGCCTCTCCTTCCCCTTTGCCCCTGGAAGATCTAAGACTTTGTCTGCAGTGCCCGCAGAAGCAAGCTGCGTGGTTCAGCACATTGAGGGAAGAAGGGCACCTAGTGAGCATACAGGTGATTTCCTATGATCTGATTTTGGCATTCTTTTTTCTAAATAATCCCTAGCCGTAGCCCTGAAGCTGTGAAGTTCAACAAACCCAAACCTAAGATTGGCATGCTATATGGCCAGCTCTGGATGTGACTTGTATCACACTCTAGCTTCTCTAGATATCAATTACTTGTGTTCACACAGTACACAGAAACTTGGACAACAGTCCAATCCTAAAATGAAATTGTTGTACAAGGCAAAGCATAGTGAGACAAAACGTAACATATTGATGGTTGACATAATGCCATAGTAAGTCTGGGTAATCTGAATTGGTCACAGATCCAGTTTGGTTTTGGTAACTTCAAGTAAATTATTAAATTAGAATGTAAAATTCAGTTAATTCCATTTAATTGCTTATTTAACATCTGTAAAGCAATCAGTAAATTGAGAACCAGATGAAAGGTATTGTCAATGTGGGAAACAATACAGCATGAAAATATTTAACTACCTCGTAAGTGAAAATGTTCACAAAAGGAATACCTATCAGAATCAATTCCTTCTGATTGCTCATTCATCTTTCATTAGGTATTTGAATAGTTATCATAGAAATGTTTCTGTAATCATCTCTCTCCAAAAGGAAGCATGGAAACTTCAATTATCGTTATCTGAAACCTGGGATAAAACATTTTTAACATTCGTCTCTTTGTTTCAGGTAACACTCGTGTTTCCTAACAATGATCCTGCTGCTTTCATGGTAGCATTTTATGGCTGCCTACTTGCTGAAGTTGTCCCCGTCCCTATTGAAGTGCCACTTACAAGAAAGGTAGGGAACTGAATTTCTTTTCTATACTGCATTTTAAAACTTATGTCAGAACAAATCACAACTGAACATAGCTCGAGTACATTTTCGTGGTTAACTATCCCTGAATCTGAGGATACAAAGATAGTGCTGTGCAGTGAGTTATATATAGTTTCTTCTTTTCTCTGATGGAAAGTCTGAAGATGTGCTTGCAATTTCAGCAAATGCAGGTCCGTCTGGAAAAGGAGAGGAAAATTTTCCAAGAGAACAGCTCTGCCAGTCCTAGATGGGTTATATTTGTAGCCTCTCAAAGCATTCTGATGTTGACCACTGACAAAGAATCATTGGCAACAACTGCTGGTTCTCCACCTGTCCCTGCAACCCAAGCTATGTTATAGTGCCACTAGTGCTGTGTATACTCCTTCAAAGCAGTGAAGTAAATGCCTTCTCCTGGGTCTATATGTGCATGTGTATCCCAAAGCCTCTGTCACCGCAATCATGTCTGCCAAGGGTGGCACTTCAACAGATTAAGTTTGCAAATTCTTGCCACAGAACATATATTCATAGAGAAAATGGACCATTTCTAATCAGAAGCCTTTCACATCGAGTGTTGGTTCAGAGATTCAACCATGTATCCTAGGGAAGTGTTAGCAGACAGATACAGCAGTTCCAGCTGGAAAGAACGCCTAGGGGCAATGAGGGGAGGGGGCTCAGTGGTGTAGGTAAGCCACAGCTGGGAAGCTTACACTGATGCTGCTAAACTTGCATTTTTTTCTGAGGATATATGCCTTGAAGGCTGTAAATACAGCAAAATATATTTATTCATTACAAGTTCTTTTTGTCACATCCCCTTAATTTTACCACAGCTAGCCATAATGCCTGTTGTAAGATTCTCCCAAATATCCCCTTATATAATACCTTCTTTATTAGCTAGCACTAATAATGCCTTATTTTAATTATTTATTCTGGAATTGTCCACACAAAGTGCATTCTTTAATCCTTACAAACTTTCTTCTTTAAACTAAATTCTTTTGGAAAATGTTGACTGAAACCATGAGGTTTTTCCAAGGAAAGGGAAATGTGTTGCTTTGCTCACATTTTCAATTTTTCAATTGTCAAGGTCTTTTCTTTGAAATGCTCTGGTGTCACAGCACTCTGGAGCAGAAGCTCAAATCTTTGTTTCATGGACAGGTGCCCTGCCTTTCAAATGAAAAGCCATGAAAACAAATTTCTAAGCTGTCATTCTAGGCTTTGCATTTCGCACATCTCACATAGCTATTCAACAGCTAAAAATGTCTGGAGATTCCTTCCTAACTGAACATGTTTGAACCTTCCTCATCTCTGAGAAGCTGAGTTGATCTCGTGATTTCTCCATTATGTTCACACATGCCCTGGCCAACATCCATGGTGGGCCCTTGCCATGGCGAAACCAGAAGCTGGCAGGGAGAGAAGAGGTGGTAGCTGGAGGAAGGGACCTTTTTCTGAACTGGTGAAGGAGTAGAGAGAGATGGGGGAAACTGAGTGGATCAGACAACAAAAGGCCATGATCCATCTGGGCAGATGTGAGAGTAGCTGAGCAGAAGGAAGGACACCGG